AAATTCCGAAAGATATGATTCGAGGTGATGCTGAGCAGTGCCCAGTTGTTTTTTATTATGCCACTTGGCTAAAACCACATTCTTTCAACATTTTACATGTAAATACCCATTGTTGGGTCTATGAAATTTTACTTATAGTTTACAGTAAAATGATTCTAGCCAGCTTTTTCGAGTTCCTCCGTTCTGTGCCCCTTCCAGCAGACTGAATAGATTGTTGATCAGTCTTCCACATGTTGAATAATTTTCTCCGTAAGTGTACCAGCATCAGTAGTCAAAATTTAAACAACAAAGCATTCACTATCTTCCTGGCATATTCCTTCAAATATCTGCTGTTGTGGGAGTACTCTGCCACTGTTGTTCTTATATCTGATGGACAAATTTCTGTCGATTTCAACTATTTTATTGGGACTGCCTATTCAGGCGTTGAATCTTTGCACCAGATGTAAGGAACACACTTCTTGCATGTCATTGCAGCATTTTCACTCATTATTTTACATTATTACTCCATTTCATGGACGTCAACTCCTCTGCCCAAGGATGAATAAATCTAATAGCTGTGACGAATAGTATTCTTGAACTACTGAACCAATTTCTGACATGGAGGCCCTTTTTCTTTTTGCAATGTGCAGCATTGTACCTCTGAATGGTTTCATTGTCAATATAAAGTTTTGTGTTGTGGCCATTTTTGCATATTAGTTTGTCAGGTAAAGATTTCTTTTTTCACGAAATGATGACATAACAAGAGCAAAAAGGCAACACGATGCTGATACGTCAATGACATGGCAAGGTATAAGAACACACAGTCAGATTTTGGTAAGATATCTTGTTGATTGATGATTCAGTCTTGGGGGCCAAGTACCTTTGCTTAGTGTGAGAATCTTATTTTAATGGATAGGTAAATTTTGATAAAATGTTTGTATTTCTTATTTTTCTAAGCCCAAAATGTGGTTTGATGTTTGTTTTACTTATTACAGTAATATTTTATTTTGCGTGCATTTTGATAGCTCTTTAAATATATTTCTTCTTGTACAAGATATACCTGATTGATCATGATCTGATATGTTGAAAACGGAAAATATTTTGTTCTTGTAGATATAATACTTCATCTGGCATTTCTTCTCTCTTATCTTTGATTTTTTTAGGAAAACTGTAGTGTAGGCTATGCTTTCTAGCTAAAAAAGGTGTAAGAGGTTTATATAATAACTTCTATTAATATTTAAATATTAAATCTGCAGTAAAATTAGTGTAATTTTTATCATAAATTATATTAAATAGTCTTTTCATCATCCTGTAATCATAGGTAGTACTTGACATACAAATTCATAAAGAATACTGAGCATGTTTTCAAATGAAGCAAAATAGAATGTACTCTGATATAACTAACATATCTTATACTGTTTTAATGATCTAACAGAAAATACATATAAGATCATAATTTTACTTAATTGGATATAATTTAAAACAAGTTGTTTCAGTAAAGTAATTATTGTGTATTAGAATTTGTATCAAGCTTTACATTTGCCCTTTATAATTTTCGTTTCTCAGTAGAAATGTTTCATCTGCAGCAGGTAGAAGTGCTAACTAATTTGATCAGAAAATGATTTCTGTCTGATTATAGTTGGCAGGTGATATTTTTATTGACCTGCATGCACATTATATCACAGCAGAATAAGCACAGTTTTGATACAAAATAAACACACAAAACCAATTTATGTGTGTATCAAATTTGTATGTTTATTTCTGTGTATGTCTGTAGGGATTTGAATATATTTTTATGAATTTAGCTTAAGCTCTTAAGACTTAAATTTTTTATGTGAAATGTGTTATAAATAACCTTAATCTTCTTTAACTGGGTTCAATCAAAAATTAAAATGTAGAACTTCTTTTATTCTTATTGATTAACATACAAGTCATCATACAACAGGCATATTTTTGGTTTTAATATGACTTGATGTTTTACTTCATATCTTCCCTTTCAGTCATCAGTTAGCATAAACAGTTTGATTCTGTTTAAGTTCGCAAACTCAATAAGCAGCTTTTGACTAACATTTTATGTTTAGTTCATCATCCCTGAAATAGGAAATTTTACTTATTGAGGAAATAAAAGACAGTCTCTTCATATCTCTTATGCTGCTCATCCTAAGTAATATTATAAATGCGGATGTGAGTTTGTTTGTTTGTTACACTTTCACGCCTTAATTACTTAACTGATCATCATGAAATTTTCAAGAAATATTTTTGATAAGGTTATAGGCTATAAAATGTAACTTATTTGTTGAAACTTAAACTATATAATAGGTTTTATAGCTTAAAATGATTGTCATTGTATAAACATTAAGTGTTGAAAGTTTCATAGCCATGAGTTAAACAATGTAAAAGTTTGTCTTCGTGTGCAGGTACGTGGCTTAAACCATGCAAATATTTTATAGCATATAACCTTTTCTAATATATAAAAAATATTTCTTAAAAATTTCACGATGATTGGTTAAGTAGTTAAGGCATGAAAGCATAACTTTTCTGGCTTTTCTGGCCACAACACAAAACTTTATATTGACAATGAAACCATTCAGAGGTACAATGCTGCACATTGCAAAAAGAAAAAGGGCCTCCATGTCAGAAATTGGTTCAGTGGTTCAAGAATACTCTTCATTCACAAACATTTTTGTCATTAGAAAATATATGTAGCAGTTTTACTAGATTTTGTGGTAATGCACTCCGCATAAATACTAAATATCCGCGGCTTATAGGTATTGAAGAAGGCCAGTATTTACTGAAATTTTACGCGGAGTTGAAATTTATTTAAGGACATCAACGTGAGCGAAGCCGCAGGTAAAATCTAGTTATATAATATATTTCTTACACCACATACTAGACTTTCAATATTATTGTTATTGAAATATGTGAAGCAAGCTTTAATAATATTAGACTATAATTAAAATATATTATGTAATGAAAATGTTAATAATAGCTTCATATTTGGTTCTTTTCCAGTTTAATACAGATTTATGTAAATTATATAAAGCAATCAAATTATAATTGTTGCAAATATAATTTGACTGACCTCTGGAAAAGAATATCAGCCATTCCCTTTTGCAAAAATATGGTTAAATAAGAGGAAAGGGAAAATGAAAATGCAACAGTAATTCTATTGTATTATTTTCAGATCAGTTGGGAGGGGTGGGGATGCAAGGTAATTTGTTGAAAAAAATGAATTGTTGATCGTATCATAAGTAATGCTATTCGTATGTAATATATATCTTCAATAAATACTAATTCTAGTGATTTAGAAAAACATAAGCAATGAAATTTATGTGTTATATTCTAAGCCTTACTTTCTAAAATAAGATTAATCTCCAAGAAAAATTTTAAGTTTGTATTGTTAGCTTCTGCTTTCTAAGTGAGAATTTTTGATTTCTTAAGAAACTGATACTTGCTACCATTTTCTCAAGAATAAAATTAATCTTGCTGTTTCTAAAAACAAATTTCGTGTTATCTTAATCCCAAATATTTTGTACTTTCGAATTCATATTTGTAACATAATGTCTTATGTAATGGAGGGAGAAAACTTCTGCAGTTGCAGCTGACTACTGACGCAGGTGCAAGGAGAATTACTTTTCACAGGAATGTGCCCCGCCGCTGCGCTTGTTTTTGAAGCAGTCTGCAGATTAAGGCAGAGACTCACCAGGGAATGAAAGTGGATGCTTCCCTGCTGAAGCGTGGGAATATTGGAAGTACTAGCAGCTGGGCTAGCGCTGCAGCTCTCTCGCTTAATGGCAAGCACTCAGCTACATTGATCGGTCCTTGGCTCTTTCCCCACTGTGCCACACCAGCAGAAAATTGCTGATGTGCTTTTTGGAAAACGCTAGAGTTTAGTCCTTTTCCTGAAACTAATGATGTTACAATTTGATCATTTAATGTCTTTAAAGCTAAGCACATATATGATTATTTTTTCTCCTTTCTCCATTTGAGTAATGTCTTTGATGGAATTGCTATTTCCTTTCCATTATTTTGCAATTTTTTTTATACAATAATGCAGGAATTTAGAGATTATTTGTTGCCTTCCCCCTTCTGTAGAATTCAATTTCATATTCCTTGATATAATTTGTTTGCATCGCAAACTTCAAAATTTTGATGTTATGGTTTTTCTGGTTTGAGTTATGGATAATGTTATAGTTCTGAAAGACCATCGAGTTTGATGATATAATTATTGTCGGAAATAGGGTTTTATTTTTATTTTACCATTCTTCTTTTATTGAAATAAGTTGAATGTGCAGACTAAATGCATGTGACACTTATTTACATTGTCATATGTATATCAGTAACTATTATCATGTACCTGTCATAATGTCATACGTAAATCAGTAACTACTTACTACCATGTATCTAAAATTAAACTATATAATTTATATATCCTTGATTATAAAAATTATTCAGACATAATATTCTTAATTTTGTTTACTATTATATTTTTAATTTTTTTTTTTTTTTCATGTCCTTTTCACCATTCTCACATGTTAAGGAAAACTATATTTATATTGAAAATCAGAAAAATTCTTTGATGGACAAATCAAAATCATGTTTTTATTGCGTATTACATATATACTTTCTAATATTTTTTGATTGTTATTATTTGGTGCATTCTTTTACGTCAGTCTTTTCACTGAATTGTGTATTTGAACCTTTTGACATAGTTTCTGCTTTGCTGTTTTATTGTTAATTTATTTACTTATTGTTTTTGATTGTTTTTATTTTGAACTTTAAACTGGAAGGGGGGGAGTCTGTTATCAGCTTATTTTTTGAAAGCTTTGCTTTGAACTATATAGCATTTAGATTTTGAAATCTGTTTTGCTGCTTTGATCAAATGCTGTTTTATTTAACTCAATGAAAAAATTGGAAAACCTTGTTATATTAGCTCTGCCTTTCAGTACAAAAAATATATCTCTTTTATGGTATGTTATTATATATATATATACAACTGACAGCCTGTATGTATGTTTTAGTTAATGGAGAACAACCACAACAGCAGTCTCATCATCCTTTGGTGGCTCATAGTGCTCTCAGCCTGCCTCTTTTAACTCAAGGAAGAACACATGCACCTCCAAGTCCAATGCCCACTCCATCTCCACCTGTAGATGAGAGACATAGGAATAAGTATGAAAATACTTTACTATTCTTGTTTAACATTATTACTTAAAACAAGTTGTTAGGATAAAACTGTGACTTATAGCAAAATACATATATTTATGTTGTATTTGTAACTTGATACATATCATTAAATTTCATTTTTGGGCTAAAACCGCTAAATTTTAATTTTTAAATATTTTATCCCCACATTGCATTTTTAGAAGTCACTTTAAGAGCAAATTCATTTAGTAATCTCCTTTATGAAGATGAAAGGTAATGGCTGTTGCATTATGTTTAACAGTTTATTTATCAGCCAGGTGAGTTAGCAGAAATATCTTTCAAGCGACACAAGATTTTTAATATAAGTTTTATGTGGCCTACTAAATACCTAGTTGTCAATGTGAGAATTATTCATTGTCTTTCAAAGCAGTGAGTGTGTTTCTGAATAATTTATGTCTTTTATTTTTTAATAATACATTTAATTGATGCAATTTATAACACATTTAAGTCATATAATCTATATTACATGAAAGTGAAAATTTTTATGAATATTTTCATTATCATTTTAATTAATAAAGATATTCAAAGTACCATTTATTGCACAATTTTTACAGAAGAAACATTTGAATTATTCAAGAATTAGAGTATTAAAATAGGAGAAACCAGAGGGATCATTCAAGTTGTAGTTAAAAAAGCCCCTGTGTTCCAAGGGTCCCCCGAATCACTCTCTGGATTCAAAGAAATGTACTGTTAAAAAAGAAAAAGTAAACATGTTTTGTGCTGAAAGCTGAGGGACTGCCAGAATTTTAGGAGAAAATAAGAATCAAATAGGATAAGTTAGTAGCAGAGCTTTTTTTAGCTCTAGCATAGTTGAGTTGGACAATTCAGTATTTTGAATAACATTGTCACATGATCTAAAATAGCACATTAGGTATTTATGATCCAAATGTTCATGAAGTATCAAATAGGATAAGTTGGTAGCAGAGCTTGTTTTAGATAACATAGCATAATATAGTTGAGTTGGACAGATCAATAATTTGAATAGCATTGTCACATGGTCTGAAGTAATGAATCAGGTAATTAGGATCCAAATGTTCAAGAGGTATTTAGGTGCAGTAAAATTAAAGGCCTGGTAGATTGGAGAGAAAAAGAAGCTTGTTCTCTGGTTGAACAATGCAAAACTAATTTGAAAGTAAAAGAATAAGAAATGTGTGGGAAGATATCAAAGCCATACACAATATTGAAAGGAGAGTTGAAATGTCAGCTTTCTATAAAAAGCGTGAAAAGAAAGAAAACAAAATGCGAAGTCAGTAGCATGTGGCAGTTCCCAGGGAGTAGTTATTTCAACCTTATGGGTATTTCCATTGTTTGGTGTAGTGAGTCTTATTAAGCATGTGATAGTTTTCTGTGAAAAGTCCTTCTTGAAGGTGTCTTTCCCAACCCCAAAAGCTTCATTTGCTTTTCCATAATTTGGGGACAAACAAGGTTGCACCCACTCATTTTAAAAGTTATCTTGACCATAACAATTTAATGAAGGGCTGTGTGTTTATGGCCTTAAAAAGTTTGTTTTGGAGATTTTACCTGTGACTATTTTTTCTTAAATGAGTTTTTGTCCGTTTTTTAATGATACATACATATATATGCAACACGTTCCAAATAATTGGCTTTATTCCATTAAATATTGATCTTAGACATGTGCTTCTCATTACAGAATAAAATAAATTAGATAGAAGCACAGTGAAAACCTGCAATGCACAAAAAGGAGGTAGAGACTTTTATGGGAGTAGCATGGTTCTGAAAATAAATAAATTATGTGATCCTTGTAGAGCAAAATGTCCAATTAATAAAATGCTCATTTGGCATTCGTGAGTTCAGTTTTCAGTTTTAAAAATTATATGCCTTTACATGTCTTCTCTAGGTCTACAAAGTTAATAACCACTGTTTATATAAGATTTCATATATTGCTAAAATGAATTGCCTTTATTCTGTTGCTGCTTAAGGTAAGGGAAATTTTAGGTGATTTAATTTCAGTTGAATATGTACATTAGCAAATGATTCTAAGTACAGGTTTCTTTTATAAAACAGATGTTCCCCAACTTACGAATGGCTTATGTTCCAAACGAAATTTTGGATTGAATTTTTTCTTAAAATGTTATTCTTTGAGAGTTTCCAATGTAAAATTTCGTAAAGTGGGAAGCATATGTATATTGTCACAAATTTTGTGCATAAAAATGTAGAATATTGTGTATTTAACTACTTTAAGCATAATAAATATTTTCCTGGTTGGATTTCTTTTTAGGCATCTATATTAGTTCTAAATTTTCTATCTCAAGTTAAATTTTATTTTTTTAGAATGTCTACTAGAATTAATAGAAGTGTTTTTCTAAATTTCTATACCTTATTTTGAGACACTTTTTAATTCAAAGTACATGTCAGGTTTTGAGGGTGCAGCTTTTCCATTATATGAATCTTATTTTCGTAATATTTTAAAATGGATTGCCAAACCTTTCCCACCATAGACCAAGGGATGAACAAATAATGTGACACTGCCCAAGTACACACATGCCAAATAATATTGGGAATAGGAATTTCTTACTCCTTATGTACTATGTTTTGCCTGGTGGCAAGAATTTGAACTATTATTTTTTATTGAAGTTTTCTTTTTCTCGTGTTCCATATGACAAATGTATTAAGTTTCAGTAAAATATGTCAACAAAAATAGGGTCCAAATAGGGTTACTTTAATTATAATCATCTTATATTCATAATCCCCCCATATTTGCAGCTTATTCAATTCAGAACATGCCACAGACAACTATGAAAGCTATGTAGAACATGATATCTGCATAATATATAAAAATTTGAAAAAACTTAATTAGTAAATCTAGCATAAATAAATAATCTTCCAAAGTTTTATATTCTTGCTGACAGATAACACATCTCTTTAGTTTAGAAGTACTGATTTTATCACTATTCTTATACTGGAAACCTATTGTAATGTAAATAAATTAAAAAAAAAAAAAACTCTGCTTATGAGAGCGGCTATAGAATGTAGCAAATGAGAATAGGGAGCTTGTTAAAAGCAGAGCTAAGGGAAATTTAATGGGAAAAGTACAAGGGAGAGATAATATAGCCATATATTTTATATTATAGTATACTGCAAATATAAGGGAGAGAGAAGGAGTCAGGTACTTTGCCTGCTGATAAATGTGGTCCTCTGACATTCTTATAGCCATCATGGCAAAGACCAGTTATGAAAAGTGAAATTCTAAGGATTCAGACTGAAAATGTATATGATGTTCCAAAAATGGCCTTTTGTATTCACATCTTTTAGAAAAGTGTATCCACATGCAAATACTCATGATTATTGTGAAAAAATAGTGCTTAGCTTGTTTCTCATTTTACCACAGGCTGTTTATAAATTAATATACATTTCAAAACTTTAAAGAAACTTTGTCCTATGTTGTGAACCATGAATAATTGAAATTGCAGATGCGAGTAACTCTGTTGCTTAGTTTTATTATTAAATTTTTATGATTTTACTTTTAATATTTTGGGCTTAAAATAAATGCAGTCCCACTAATTTTAGATTATATATGTAAGTGTTTTTTTTTTTTTTTTTTTTTGCATTGAAGTGATATTTTATTAAAGTTATTATTTTATCATAATGAAAAATGCATTATAGTTTTCATTTTTGAAAGTTATTGACTATTTTGTACTTAAGTAATAATGATTACAGAAATAATTTTATATTTGATGCAGAAAATAATTGCAACTTAAATGTTTATAAAAGATAATTCTGTGTCACTATTTGGTTAAGCTTGTTGTGCATATTTAATTTTCAATGATAACATCCTGTTTCATTTCTGAATATAAGACAAACATATTTAATTTGTTAAGAATTTTTAAATGTTGTGATGAAAATAAATTGCAGTTTATTATAAATATTTAAATTTATAATTTTCTTCAGGTAAATTACAGGGTTGTAATTTTTTATTACATATTATTTATTCAGTTTACTGTTACAAAAGTTATAATAAACTAGAATAGTCACCATGTTGATTATATGAGGCCATAGTGGGAATTATTGATTTTTGAACAGGTGGTTTGTGACTGATGAAGTGCATATATGAATGAGTGAGTCATTTATTTATTGATTTTGCAAAATCCGAGTTTCACTAAATGATAATTTTTTTTTAGGAGGAAAGACCAAAGGCTTACGAGGTATGTTATTGTTATATTATTAATACTAAACCAACTAGTATTATTTGTCATTAAAGATATTTTTTATTACTTTTTGGAAATTTTTTTAGTTTTATTTATTGGAATGAAATATTATTTAAAATGCTGTGACTTGTTGATTTAAAAAAATGTTTTAAAGCATTCTCAGTATATTTGTGTGTGCATACAAGTTTGTAATACATTGAATGCACACAGAACCAATGATAGCTTGATAAAATTTAATTTCACAAACAAAACACTTTATGATTCCAGATCTTTTCACAGTACTCTTACAGCTCTTCTCAGTATGACCAAGCACAATCAGTATTTACCACTTCAAACTGCTAAGAACGTTAAGCACAAGGCAATGCAGAACACATCTAAAAATGAAGCTCACACGGAAACCTCTTAATACTGTGAACAGAACTCTGAAATATAAACTCTGTACTCAAACTGAGAACTGCTGCTTTCTCTGGTCGTATATAGTTTCACCTGGCTGATGAGAAATTTCCAGTACTCTCCATTTCTCAAAATATACCGTTACATATAGAGATCAGTTACAGTTACATAGGGACTGGACTAAAATGTTGCCAAGATGATGACTTTTGGCAGTTTCTCAACAAATTTAGTGACAAAAATTAGTCACCAAAATCATCACCAGCTTAGCGATATTGTGTCAATTTCACGAGATAGTTATGTTACCTCAATGTTAAAAAACTTGCCCCTATAACCTTATTTTTCTGGCAGAGTTTCACTTTCTTCACATTTTTCATGTTACATTATACAAAATTCATAACACTATTTTCCTTAATCTCTATTATTTAACTTTTAGTGTATGCTTGTGGTAAAGGAAATGCGCATATAGAAATTTGCATGCTAACTGATTAAAAAAGTAGAGCTATGACTGTTTAAAATAATTTTTTGGTGGTAGGCCTGGAGAAGAATGGTATGAAAATAAAAGGGGAGGGATATTTAGTATGGGATTACATTTCCCAGAACTACTCTGATATGTGCCCTCAAGGCGCCAAATTTCTCGCCAAATATTTTTGGCGAGAAACTCCACGCTGCCATATTGCTATCTAAATTTTTTGTCTACCTTTCGAACTTTAAGCCTAAAATGTCTCCAAAAATACGGTTTTCGCGAATGCAAAACCAACGTTTTTGAAACACACAATTTAAGCTAAAAATCTGAAACAAAAAAAAAAAAATTTAGGTAGCAAAACCGTGAAGTTTCTAACCAAAATTATTTTACAAGAGTCCATGTACACAGCGATATGTTTTAATTTAAAAAAACATCTACGAATGGCACAATTTAGGCAACGAACGAATTTACGAACTACGCACACCTCGCTTTAATAAATTAACATAATAAATTTCAAAGAATAACCATGTACACAGCATCCTGTTTCAACTTAAAAAAAAAAAATCTATGAATTGCACAATTTAGGCAACAAACGAATTTACGAACTACGTGCACCTCACTTTAATAAATTAACATAACAACAATAAATTTCAAAGAATACCATGTACACAGCGTTCTGTTTCAACTTTAAAAAACATCTACGAATTGCAGAATTCTGATGGTACGCACTAATCAACAAAATAACTAAAATAAATTTCAAACAATTCAAAAAAACAACAATAACGACAGAAATTCATACTAAAAAAACAATGAACATTACATTCTACAAAATAAGAACAAAAAGAACAAAAATAAAATAAATGCACTTACCATTAATGCTTTTTCGAAGAGCAGATATACCAATTTCATACCGCCTTTAACATGCCGCCACGTAATCACTAGTATCGTATTTATATGACAGCCAGACACACTATCCAGAAAATTCATACTATGGTTCACAAATAAATAAAATAACAAATAATCACAAATCCCTACTTCTATCACGCACAACCACTAAAAATAATCTCCCATACCTTCTTTCCACACCTCCAAATACCCATTGCCCCTCAACAGGATGACCACGACGATATTTCCTTATGCCGAACTTCAATTCAACAACTTTCACCATTAAATCTTTTCCCCTTAGCTTCTCAGACACAAAGCATGACGGGAACCAACAAACTCCAGTGAAAGACTTTTCAACGTCAACAGGGTTGCCATACAACATGCAATCGTGCCAAAAACCAGCGCAGAACACATATCGCCACATTTGGTGAAATTAGGGCGTATATCAGAGTTGTACCCATTTCCCAAGTATTTTTGTTTAAAATTGCTAAAAACTTAATGATGTGGCTTACTGTATTAAGGCTTTGAAACAGCAAGTTACATTTTTCGTTGATTTGTTGCATTGATAGAATCATTATTAATGATCAGATGTTATTTATTTTTGTGTAGAAAATCCTCTTAGTATATTTAAAAAACTCATAAAATAATATCTAATATTTATATTTTAATGTTTTTTCCCCCCACATTTGCTATCTTTTCTGTGAATGATAAACATTTCTTGAATACACTGGTTATTTTTTTTGTGATACATTAAAACCTGAATTTTATGTTTTGGCTTATAATCATGTTTTGCATTACATAGAGAGTCAATGAAAAAGTACCTTCGGGAAAGAGGAGATATGGTGCTTGTAATATTACATGCCAAAGTTGCACAGAAGTCCTATGGAAATGAAAAGAGGCAAGTAATGTATCAAGGAATTTTTTGCCTGAAATGTCTTTTGTATTGAAGGTGTGATACTCAAAGATAAATATATTGTGGATTTAGCTGATTATTTAACTTACAGGTTTTTTTGTCCTCCTCCTTGTATATATTTGCTTGGAGATGGCTGGAGGAAAAAACAAGAACAAATGGTACGGGATGGAGAGACTGAACAAGGCTCTCAGCTGTGTGCTTTTATAGGTATTGGAAATTCAGATCAAGAAATGCAGCAGTTAGATTTCAATGGAAAAGTAAGTTTGTCTCTAATGAATATTACATACATGCACCCGTATGTACATTTGTAAAAATGAGCTACAATATAATGAAAAAAAAAAAAAATTAGATTTCTCTAGCATCTTTATATTTAAACTATTTTAGACTTTTCTTCCTAAAATACTTTTTCTGATTTTCTTATGAACGTGGTACAGCCCTTAAAATGTTTATGAAAGGTGTGTACCTTGCTGGCTATTAAAATTGCAACAGCGATGAAAGACAAAATGTAGTACACCTTAACTTATTTTATACAGATTCCTTATAATACAAAAATGAAATCATTAGAATTTCAGGTACATTGGGCAAGCAGATGTATTACCATCAGGCAAAATAGCCAGCAGAATGTTTATCAAATGTGGCTAACATAAGCAACAATAACTGCTGCAGTGCAGTAAGACAAGAAGTAAAAGGGACTTTTGATGACATTTTGTTATATTGCTGTCTGGATGGCTAGATTTCATTTGTTATAGTCACTGGTAATTTTTCTTATACTATTGTATGTATGTGTATGCAACATCATAAATTAAATGTATTTGATTTGGGAAAGATCTGATGAATACATTGGCCATGCCAACTGTAATTTGCTGTGTGTTGAGAAAGTGTTTGGAAGGTGGCTGTGAAATGGTCCTTAAGATGTGGGACACTTACAGGTCTTGACATGTCTGTAGTGTAATGCTGACTCATAAGAGTGCCAGATATGTATGTTAGATATGAAGCAGGACTTATATTCAGTCACATCCTATACAACAATGCTGTGCACCAATATGATGATGCATGAGTCAATATTCTAATGAGTACTGCCCATTTTGTGGACTAAATACACACATGTCCATTTGGATGCTGCATTCAGTAACAGGATTTACTTGACATGAAGATATCATGCCAATTGTGTAGTTACAATTGTGTACATTACATTTGCGCCATTGCATTTATGCACCACTGTAGCTGGAGGTGCCTGTATTGTATCGTTACAAGTCGACAAAGAAAACATTGCTATGCAAGAAGCTTGTGATCCCAAAGATGTCTTACCCTTGCCGATTTGTCATACCATATCATTTTCTGCGCAAGAGGATGTGATGTGACTATACAGACTAGCCATTTTCATGATGTCTGCCTTTTCAAGTATTGGTGGATCAAGATAGTTTTAGGCCTGCATGACACTGCATCTATCTTTATTGGTCTCATTGATTCATTTTCACATGACTGTGATTGGATATTTGCTAGTGTAAGCAGAAGTTTGGTTATATGAAACATGCAGTCATTATATGTTTTATTCTCAGGTTGTCATAAACCAAAAACATATTCCACTTCTTGCAGTGAGTTCTGAATAGCATGAGGAAGACCAAGAAGTTAGAACTGATGCAAGTGTAATGCTTGTGAATTGGAGTATCAAATTTAATAGCAGTAATTCTATGTATTTACTTCTGAATAATAAAAAAAAAGGGTGGCCATATTTTATTTCTTATGCATCTACTTAGCTATTGAGTTTAAGAAAATTAGGTAAGATTTCTGATTTATTAAAAATTTAATTATACTGTAATTAAAGAATGGTATTTCTTCAATGGCCAACCCTCTTTTTTATGAATCCAGATTTTTTAAATCCATGATCAGGCACATGCTGCTGTGTATCCCATCTTTTTACTTGGCATACTCTGCAGATCTATTCAAGCAAATGAGGAGCAAGTATGATTCTAGTATAGAAATTGTGTTCTCTTTTGTACTGATCTTAAGTGGCTAAGGTTACCTATTAGTAACATTTGCATGTTATTGCTAATAATTTTCAAGTCCTAATTTACTGTAACTATCATGCACATTTCATATCAATATTCTTGGTGTTCCAATTTGAATGGCCAGCAGTATAGTGACAATTTGTTTGCAAATTTTTAGAGCAGTAAATAGTCCTTGATTTGTGTTAGAAAGATTCGTTTGATAATTTTATTTTCTCATACTGTGGTTCGTAGATTGAGAAAATAAGTTAAGCACTCTCATGTCTATTTTTAGCATTCTGAGCCCAAACATCCAAGGTATACTACTGTGATATTTCTTGCAAATAATTTTATATTGTTCATGTGCAAGTTTTCTTTTATTGATGCATTGCTCATTTGTGGATTTCTGTACTGCCATGAAATAGAATAAAATAGTAGTACATTATTCCCACATTATTAATATAGGTAGTGATAGTACTAAATTCTTATTATACTGAAAATGATGAACTACCTAGTAAAAAAAGAAATTAAATATTTGCAAATAATAAAGAAATTATTGACTTGCATGTTTAATTATAAATCTCAAGAACCCCCTCTTTTTTTTTTCTATTTCAGTCAACAGATATTGTAGATAAAAAACAGAAAATGTTATGGAAACATACAGGATAATAATACACACAAAAAAATTAATAAAAGTGTATGATCATATGTAAATCAACATCACATCCTATTTGTATATTTAATAATTGTTTTTTTTTCCCTGAAATTTTTGGCTGTCATTTAGTTGTTATATTTTTTGTAAAGCTTTTGATTGAATAGTATGTTTCAACGAAATGCCTTTCCCTCAAGCACTCTTAGTTATTTAAAGGTACTATTTTTTCTACATCTTCTAGCCTTTTTTGTTTATTTTCATTCTTTATTTCAATAGAATAAAAGTTCTTTACTGATAACTTAATTTTTTTTTGTTTCTAAGTGTATTATTTGCATATGATTTTAGCAGTATCTGCATAATATCTACAATTTTAGTTATATTAAGCATGTTATAACAAGACAGTTCTATATTGATGAAAATATAATTTCATCGTCTTGCCTTTCGTGTTTGTAAAGTATCCATAAGCTGATATTGAAGTATCTGTATATTTTTAAAATTGTCATGAGAAATTTTAAATTTTACATAAGATTATACAAGATCTTGAGGCCATTAGATTCCTCTTTAGTGACAATATGCACAATATGATTGTTGCAATTTCCTTTAATCATGTTTTATTTTCTTTTAGATTAGTTTTGCCACTTAAATTATGCTTTCTGTAGTATTTGCATTATCTGATCAATTAAGGATTTCATTTTTTTATGCATAACTTATTTGCAAGCATCATAAAGTCTGTTGTTCCAAGTATGAAAGCTTTTTTTTTTAATTTTTTTTTTTAATGTTATTGAAAAATATAACCTCATAGGATCATCTTTCTGTTCTTTTTTTTAATGGTACTGAAAAAATGTAACCTCATAATTAATAGGATTATCTTTCTGTTCTTATAGTTAGAACCTTCAAGAATAATTTAAAAAAAATTTCTTTTAACATGTCATTTGAGATTTTGCATGTTTCTTGGTGCCAGGCCATTTTTCATAATGTCTTTTGATTGGTGGAACTTGTTGATAAACAAGAATCATAAGAAAATATCCTTTGATAAATTGCAGGCAATACATAATTTTATGTTGTACCTTTATGCTTAACTAAGGCTACCTCATGTACAGTGTTTATTAATTCTGGTCTGCTGATGCTGAAAAATATAATTTAAAAACATCTGTGTATATATTTCCTTTATATATGCCAGTTAACTTAAGCATCTTGTTTGTAATAAGATTTCTTTGAATAATAATGCTCAGCTCTCATTTACAAGTTATACACTGTGCTTTATGAATTGCAGGAGGTTTAGGTTTTAACATGAATTGAATAAAAATTAAATGTGTGTATTTCTTCTTCAGTGCCATAAATATTTTGTTTTAGTATGTTATAAAACATATAAAGTATCTTTACCTGGTATTTATCAGATAAAATAATAATTAATAAATTAATAATTAAATAATTTATCAGATAAATTATTTCACAGTGTAAGGTTTATTATGTTTAGTAATTAAAATATTATGTTTTCTGAGTAAGGAAATGTTTCTGTTGGGTTTTCAGCAAGCACATAAGCCTTTTTTTCCCCATTTCCATAGCAAACTTGCATGCAGCCCATGCCATTGCCACCTCACTTGATTTTCGAATGCTGCTCGCATGCCTCTCCACAGGAATATTTGCTTCTTTCCTGTAGGCACTGTTCAAGATGTCATCACTCTTGCCCACATAGGGACTCCTTATCTATTACCTTGTTAAACGCGGTGCAGTCTTCTCATTTTTTAGCCGATGCTTGTTTTATTTATTTCAATTTTTCATTTCAACAATGTAGTGGAAATTGTAATTTTATTACAAAGGTACTCCATAAACAAAGCATCTTGGTCTATGAGGCTTTAACAATTGATACTTTCAGGCAATTTTGTTAAAGGATTTCACTTACATTCTAAATAGTTATTTCCATCAATGTTTTATTATACTATGCTTCTGCCATGCTAAAGTTCTCCTTCGAAACCATGAAGCTTCTCTGACTTGTAAACTTTATATAATAAATACAGCATGGATATTAATAGGATGATTATTTTAGTTAATTAGCTGATAAAAATCAATCAATGATGCTTTACGGTACTGCAGTGTGCATCTATTTCACTGACTATTCAATCTGACACTTGGAAAAATTGCTAAAATTGCAGGCTTATCATGTACATTATGTTTCAAGTGGTTTCTGCATCTTCAGCTTCATGAGTGGTTCCTACCAAAAATTAAATCATAAACTTACTCAATTTATTATAAATCATTTTAAAAATTTATAAATTATCCTTTTAATAATCTTAGAGTTTTTATGTTGTATTAATTATCTATTGCTTTTAATAAGCTTTCCTTGTCAACACTTCTTCTTGCTTAAGAAGTTCCCAACTCTTTCGTCTTTGAAAATCTTCTAAGCAGGGTTAACTTTAATTTTAGCATTAGTAACATTAATTGGTAATCAAACATATAATAATTAGAAAAGTAAAATTTTAATTATTTCAAGTACATGGCATAAAATATGAGATCCTTTCATATTTAAGAATCACCATAATCATTCACATATTTTAGAATTTTTATAATTGTAACCATCACTTTTTTTTTATTTAAATTAATTTTTTTATATTATTAGAATTTTTTATTTTAGAATTTTTATAATTGTAAAATTTTCTGAGCCTTATAAGTGTGTGAATGTATACAACAAACAGTGTATGTATACAACAAATAAATGTATAGGGCCTCTTGGGGGGGGGGGGTTGACACGTTTTCACGAGATTTCTGTTACATAATGATAAATTGTCGAGTTTCTTAATTTTATTTCCATTTCTTATTTCTTTTGATGTAAATAGACTTCTAAATTATATAGATTTCTTATTAGATATTTTTAATTGCATGTTTGGATAAATGATAATTGAATGTTTAGCACTATGGTTGTTTATATAGCAAATGTCATTTGTAGTCCCATGACCTTATATTGACCCATGACCATGTATTATATATGGTGCTTTTATATTGGTAACCAGTATAATTCTGGTTGATTATATAGTCCCATGACCATATATTATATATGGTGCTTTTCTATTGGTTCAGAATTTGCTTGAATAAATTGATTTTGGTCAAATTTGACTTCAAAATCACACTAACGAAAAAGGACGGGTGTGTGCTAACTATTATTAAATTTATATTTCTTATTTGTCATCTTATTATTTCTTGAGTCTGTTACCTTTATATGTTAGAATAAAATACATATTCATTTAATATTTTCTTTTGCAGAATTATTGTGCTGCGAAAACATTGTATATTAGTGATTCAGATAAAAGGAAGCATTTCATGTTATCTGTTAAAATGTTTTATGGAAATGGTGAAGATATTGGTGTATTCCATAGTAAACGAATCAAAGTCATATCAAAGCCTTCTAAGAAAAAACAGTCTATCAAGAATGCTGATTGTAAGTTAAATATTAATTTTTATCTGAATTATTTATGAAATTCAAACTTTAACAGTAAAATTTTATTATTTCACGTATCACTTAATGCATATTCGAAATTTTGAATTAACTTCATAGCAAATCCATTTGAGATAATTTATTCTTTTAATTTGGCATAATTATAAGTATTCTTTTAATTTGGCATAATTATGAGCTTATAATAAATTAGTGTTACAGATTAAATTATCATCTATATACCTTTAGACTACACTATTGGAACCAAGCATTCACCTATTTGGAAAACCAAAATTCTGCTAAAAGTAGTCAGTGTAATCAACAAATAAATGTATAGGGCATTTGTTTTTAAAGTTAATTGATTCCCCACAATAATTTTACTTTTATTGAAATATTTTAATGAATGAGGATAGTGTTCACATATACTCAATATATACATAAATGTTTCACTTATACAAAATTTATATATGAAGGTAACTAATTAGTAAAACTAGGATTTCTGAAATAAAGGCAATAAGATTAATTAAATTCATGAGTCATTAACAATTTCAGGAAAGTTCACAAGAAGACAAAAAAAAAAAAATAAAAAAAAAAAAAAAAAAATAACATGATAATAAAACTATTTAATAAATTAATAAAACATTTTTTTGTCATGCTATTAAAATGCTTTTTAAACTTACCATAGTTCAATTTTTGGAGCAGTAGCTGTTTGCAATAAGTTTAAAATAAGCTATTAATAGATGCCTTCATGTAGCTATAAGCACCAGGATGTAATTTCAAAGGAATTAGTTCTACTTAAATATGGATTGCTAATTTAAGGGACACTTGTGAATTCCAAATTATATGCAGATATATCATGAATATGTAATACTTTAAAAAAGTGATGGTAAATTTAATATAATTTTTTTTAATCCTCTCACTGTAAGTAACCAGAATCAAAAATTAAAAATAATAATAATAATAATAATAATAATAGACTGACTTCAAGGTAAAATATTAAAGCTTCTAAAAATCATTTTCTGTACTTGATGAAAAAAAAAATGTGATAATTTATTCCACGAAATGGGAATAGTAGTGATTTATAACAGAAATAGGACTTTCATCAGAAATTCAAAAAATTATATTCTCTAAAGACAATTAAGTTAAAAAAATGGATTATTCTCCCTGCATTTAAATACTTATTTCATTCATATTGTAAGAATTATGAAATACATTAAAGAAACAAAGTACAAAATGGATGTTTATATCAATAAGTTATGTCCTCGAATTTTAAGATGTAGATAGATTACTAAGAAAGCTTTATTGTGTATGAATAATAAAGATAACTTCGTTATCTTCTTTTTGGTATGCATGTTATAATTCATATATATATGCTATAATTCTGAGGAAATATGAAACAGAATACTTATGTCTTGTTATAATTTAAGAAATTTGTTCGTATTTGTTTATTTCACAGATTTTACTCACATTGCTTAATATTTATGCACACTGCTTTTAAAACACAGTTAACTTAGAACTTTTCAAATTAAATTTAATAAAAAATAAATGAAATGAATCATAATTTTGTAAAAACAGCTTTTAAAATTGTAATAAAATCAAAGCATTTCCATGATAAATCAAGAATATTTTAATTATTTATTTTTAATCTTTCTTTGATACTAATTAATAAATATTAACTAGTCAATAATAACATTAATTAATTGTTTAAATAAATTATTAAAAAAAGTTTCAAAATTCATTCTAGCTTAAATAATAGCAAAAGTATCAAAAGAGACTAAATGTAAAGCCTCAAAATATATTTGATAAATATTTTGTGTTGTTCATCAACTAGCAGTTAACATATAACAAAAATTATTTGCTTTTGGTTACCTGTAAAACTATTAGTGTTAATGAATTGAATGGAAAACTAATTTTAGTGGTTTAAATTTATGTAAACAAAATCAGTTAAATTTTTCTTGTAAAAAAATCTCTGAAGTAATCATAGTTCAAGTATACTATAAGATATTATTTTATGTGCATTAACCATTAAAAAGTTAATCACTAAACTTTAAATAACATCACGTTTGTTGTATCCAACATTATTAGCTCCAATGTAAACATTATATAGAAATGACAATATAGAATATAAGAATGACCAATTTAGAATATAGAAATGATATATAGAAATGACCCTGCATAGGAAATTCTAAGACAAAAGGAAGTAGAAACAATGCAAATGAAAGGGAAAATATAATCACTTGATATATAAAAATAATGTACTTGTGGAAGCTTAGGTTTTTAGTTTTTGATACATCAGTTCTTTCTGAACATCCTGTAGCTGAACAACAAACCATTATATCATTTTAAATTTTAAAATGTTGAAAATATTTTCGAGAGAATTGTGGATGTCCATAGCATACCATTGTAATGAGGGAGTGGATGAAAGCTGATAAGAAAAGGGCCCTTGGCATGAAAACTGTGTTGTTTTTGGCTTCAGATTTGGCACACAATGTTCATCCCATCTATTTCTTTGCTGCATGATGGTGATGGACTGCACAGAAATTGTTAGAATGCCAAGAGTTTGTAAATTACATTCAATTCTCAATAAAATAGTCCATTATAAAAAGAAAGTCAGACCTAATGTCTTGCACAGTGAGGATATGTTTTGTTCAATGACATGCTAATATTAAATTTAATGTGTGATTCTTAAAAGAGTTTTTGTGGAGGAGGATATGAAAGGAAGATGAAGAATATGAAATATTTCTACTAGTATTAGGGATTGCGATCATTACTGCAGTACAGTATAAAGAGGAATGATGAGCAGTGCATGTGCTTAATTTTAATAAGATGTATGTAATGTATGTATTTAACAGAATATATGTGTTTGTCCAAGAATAGCTAGATGAAGTCATGTAGCTCTAAATAATGCTTTTCAAAAATGCATATGGCTGATGGATTTCACTTAATGGATAATATATTCATCTTCAAAGAGAAAACTTGGTTGTTGAATTTCTTAAAAACAAATGTGCACGAAATAAACTGACCAACTAAAATACCAGAAATTCTTTAGAGAAGTTATAGGGTATCAATGGAAGAGGTGTTGCACAGTAAAATTCTTCCCCTTAAGATCTCAGTACTGAGCATGTTGTGATATGTTCCTGTTGTAGTAACTAATTGTATTATGGCATGTGCATACATATTAGGAGAGAGGGAATCCCCATTGGTATCAAAAGATGCATTTGTTTGCAAAATTTTTTTTCATTGCTATGTATTATAGATTTCAGTTTTATTTATTTCATCATATAATTTTGTGTCTTACACATTTGTAATAAATTTATTTGTTTGTGTGTTTTGGTGTTGTGTGTCACCCCAAATAAATTCATTCGGTTTGATTCACTAGTTTTTGAGAAAACAGTGTTTTCATGCATTTAAAGATAAATTTGATTACCATTATAGATATTAGAATGGAAAATCTCTAATTAATTTTGCAAAGTGAGCTAAATTCTTAGTCACATATTTATATAAAAACTAAGCTATTATTATACAGCCAGAATCTGTGTAGGCTATTTCATATGGATTGCATAACATGCAGTGTATATATATATATATATATATATGAGCCTTACATCTGTATTAATGCAACATTAGTTTAGAAAATAATAATAATAAAATGACCTGTGCTAGGAAAAGGGAAGTGGAGGGGTAATGCAGCATATCATAGACAATATTTGGCTATATTTATGTATTTTTTGTGTCCTACCTTTTTCTGATTAAAGTCGGAAGTTGTACAGTGCATTTAGACAGATTTTGTCTGTTAAGTCATTAAAACCTTGGAATTCTGTATTTTAAATTATCATGCAATCTTATATTTTTGTACTGCTTCATCTATTAATAGTATGCTAATAATTAAAAACTTGAAAAAATTTAATACTAATTAACATAATTATTTACATTGATTATTCTAGTATGCATAGCATCAGGATCCAGGGTGGCTTTATTTAATCGCTTGCGTTCCCAGACTGTAAGTACCAGATATCTTCATGTTGAGAATGGTAATTTCCATGCTAGTTCAACACAGTGGGGTGCTTTTACTATACATTTATGTAAGTTTTAATTTTTTTTTAAAGTTTGATTTATAACTACAGTAAACATTTAAAAATTGTTTTAAGTAAATTTAAATCATGTATATAATAAAACTCTTGCTATACTTACCTATTACGTAATATAACTTTATATAAAATAGTAATGTGCTGAATCTTTTTGTACAGAGTGTTTACACATTTTTAGAACTGTTTCAATAAAAAATTTAAAAAAAAAACAAATGTTCTGAAACAAGCTGTGGACTTTCTGAAAAAAAATATTAATATTCCATATTTCAGAAAAGTTGTGGTAAGCTTGATATTAAAATTTCCAAGTGTAAAATAAGAAACATTATTAGTCAAAAAGAGAAAAATCGTCAATCGCCACTTTTACATGAAAAGAACTCTTTAAATGTTACAATATATTCAGACGTTACAATGTGTTACAAAGTTGTTGAAAAAGCTTTCAAAAATTAAACAAAATAGAAAAAAATATTATATAAAATGAAAAAAAAGAAAATCTGAAAGGCTTCAGATTTTAAATTACGTCCAAAGGGGCTTTTTTTTAAGATTTTGTGTGCTAACTTTATTTATTAAATATCATGTTCTTCGCACTTAAACCATAAAATTCAGTTCAAAAGAAATATCGCAAAATAATTTAAAATTCGCATATCTTTAGAATTTCCCATACACAGTCTCACGCACTGGAGATAAAAATGTTTTTCCTTCCTGTATAGTATAAATGTTTTTTCTGCTTGTATAATATAAATGATTTTCCTGCTATTGCTCACTTTGAAATCGTTGAGTTTGTTACTCTAAAATTCGTTAAAGTTTTACAAAATATTAAATCGATAATAAAACAAATTCCAAATTTCAAATTTAGGCTTCTACATGCTCATATTCGCAGTAGGATTACGTCATTTAAAATTCAATGGCTCTATGTACCATTGTTTTATCACAATGCGAGAAATATACATATATTTATGCAGATTTTTCATTTTTTTAATTTCTTCAAATATAATGCAGGACTCTTAACATTTGGTGGCAACAGTTTGAAAAGTGAAACGGACATTTATAGTGATTCAACGCAAAATGAAAACAATAGTCCTTCAGGGACAAAGCCCCTTTGGACTAAAAACCTCAAAAGCAAAAGATGCATGCAGGCTCACTGCAGATCATTTTGTAGAACTTTTATAAAAATTATTTAGCAAAGATAAATGGAAATGCATTGTGAACTTTGATGAAGCATGGATTTATCTGAATGACTGCAACAAAAAGATGTCTATTTGCTATTGAGGCCAGAAGAGAAATGATATGTACAAACCTAGTTCTGTCAATGCAAAGAAAGTTTTAGTAAGGAGTTTTAATGATTGTTGCAGGATTCTCTTACAATGAGAAATTTTAATTAAGAAGAATGGGAAAAAATGTTAAAATCTACTCAGCATACTATTAAGGGAAAGTTTTACATCTGATGTATACAGAACAAATTCCATTTCTTTATCCTAATGACTTTCAAAGAGTGAAACTTCATCAAGACTGAGGTACAAGTCATGCTCCGTAAAACACCACTGTATTCCTGGAATAAACGTAGACTGATTCTAGAATCACATATAATCTTTTCAGCTTATTCTTACAAAGTTCCCTTAACATTTCTTGAAAAGAGCTTTTTCTATACACAAACCCACTGGAATTGTTGGACTTTGGAAAAAAATGGAAGAAGAATGGAAATCTGTACCCTTGGAAATTTTACGAAAAGGATAGAATAGCCCTGAAATCATTCTAAAAGTGTGTAAACACCGTCTGTAGTACAGTAGAGTATTAATGAATTGGAGCATATTGAATAACAGCATAATTTTAATTAAATATACGTTTTCAAAACTTAATGTAAAGATAATGTGAAATGTTTTTCTTTTGACTTTGATAATATTTTTATTTTGATTTGACATAGATTGCACTAAATTTTCATCTGTAAGTTTCATTGACCATCTTGAAACCAAACTCTGATGATCTTGAAAATTATTGAGAGTTATTCACAAATTGTCTTGTATTTTTAATTTTTCTTTTTCACTAGATCAAAGATAGCCAATTTAAATAGGCCAGATGCTGCTGACTATTCATGAATATGTATATGATGTTTATGAAAAGCACTGTCAACTTCATGGATTTTTTTATGTAGCACAAGATCATGCTGCAGAACACTACTTCAAAGAGACCATAGTTTTAACTGAATTCAGACTATTCTTTCTTTGTAATTTCAGCATATTTTTCTAAATTCATCATACTAGTGGTGGGTGTTAAGGACCCTGTACCACAGAAAGAAATGAAATTCTTGAATATTTTTATTCCCCCCTTGAGTATTTTAAAAACTGATGGATGTGCTTTGGTGAGGTGCTTTTTCTACATGACTTTTCTTCCATAAAGGCCCATCTCTGGACAAACCTTACAATTTAAGGATTTTCTTATTAAAGCCCCCCTTGAGTATTTTAAAAACTGATCCATGTGCTTTGGTGAGATGCTTTTTCTAGATGACTTTTCTTCCATAAAGGCCCATCTCTGGACAAACCTTACAATTTAAGGATTTTCTTATTAAAATTATGTCATCTAAGTTATTAGTTTTGTGTTTTCTATCATTTTTCTAACTTTGGTAGGCCAGTATTAGCAATTGCTTGTATAAAGAATATTGTTGACAGCCCCAAAATTTTCTTCACATATTTTGGCTCTGCTTCTTCAAGAAGAATATTTATTCATCTTATGCCTCTTTCTTTGAGTGGTGCTATTGAAAAAACTGGAACAAGTAAACACTGTCAATAAAAGTAATTAAACAAGTAATATATGCTACATCAAAATGGAAAATAAGGACAAACAGTTAAATATCAACTGAAATGTATTCAATTAATTAAGCCTTTTAGTATTGCTAAACTTAAATTAAGTTCTGTTTATGAATGAAAGGAATCAGAAACTAGTAAATACATAAGAGTTCTATTAAAAAAAGTGATGTGTACATCACATGCCTTTCTTATACGTATTTATTCCTGCATTTCATTTAAACGTTCCTCGAATTTCATTAGAGATATATTTCTCATTTAATTAATTTAGTTCTCACTTCACAGCAAGGCAAAAATACATTAAAAACTCAAAATATTTTCGTTAAAAATAGAGAGCTGTAGGAAAGCATAAAACACCAAATACAGTTAAAAACAATTAAAATAAAGAGTTTATATACAAAAACAAGTAATTCGGCCAGCAGGCAAGAAGGCAGATTTTTCGGTGCACATAACTAAAAGTTTCCTTTTGGTCCTACTCAGCAAAAACACACTGAAAGTACAGAAAGACTTAATTTGCTGTTCTGCTAAGTTTGAAATGTAAACAGGTATAGCTGCTATAGTTATTTGGGGGGGGAAACTAATTTAGCCACACTTAAACAACTTTTAAATTGTTGATAATTTTAACAATTTACCACTTATAATAATAATAATAATAATAATTTAAAAAAAAGCTCATTGACTTGAGTAACAGGGTGGATATGTATTTATATACTTTTGGTGTAGCCGATTGCAACCAAAATAGGAGATGCACAACTACATGTTATATAGGAGTCCTAAATACAAAATTTCAACGTTCTGTGGCTGCTCGTTTTTGAGTTATGCAAGATATGTACGTATATACCGATGCCACAAAAAATTTTTTCTTCTGAATCCATTTTAAATCAGTTTTATAATTTGTTTGGGAAAAAAGAGTTTATTCTGTCCTTACATACAGATGTCATGCAAAAACATTGTCCAATTGCATTCGATAGTGGTCAAGATGGATATTAGCGTTGAAATATGATACCCGGAATTGTTTGTGATTATAGTAGTTCCTTTACTTCATACAAGGAAGTAAAAATTGGCATCTTTGATTTAATTACGTTATGTTGTTATTTTTTGAAATATCATAAACTGTAATATTACCCTGCCTGCTATGTGCATCTCAATCTAATCCAAAAGTTTAACAGAACCTCTATAAGGCAACTACTCTTTGATCTAGACTGTTTTGATTATTTATTTATTTTTTTTGGGGAGGTTATTGTCTTCAAGCTCATGAGTACAGGCAGTGTTCATTATAATTATTTAATTTTGTTGTCATAAATTTTAATTATCTTCAGAGGTAGTGTCAAGCTTTCACTTTCATTCAAGTAGAGTTTATTAACACGGGGGAAAAAAGGATTGTAGTTCCATGTATTGAAGAACAAAGAAATTCTGTTTATCTGTTTATTTAGAATATATTAAGCTGATATTTGTCATATTAAAATTGTTACATTGTAAAAAATATCAAATCTTAAATGAATCATAGTTGAGCAAAATGAAAGGAGAAAGTAAAGCTAATTAATGTATTTAAGCTCCACCCACAGTGCCAGATTTACATATAAGCCGCATAAGCAACAGCTTAGAGCCCCCACTTTCTTGGGGCCACCTTAAAAAACTGTACTATATCCCATATTAAGAAAATAAACGTCTCATATCTCAAATAGCTTAGGACCTCGTCAAATCTAAATCTGGTCCTGCCCACCCCAATCAAAAAATACTACTGCATTTTTGTAACCAAAAGATAATTTATTGCACATTTACAGTTTTCATTTTACTAAATCTTTTTAGACAAATGATTAATTCAAGAAAGCAGGATAACAGGATCACATTATTTATAACATTTTAACTTTAAAAGAATATGTTTGTATGCATGCATGCACAAGTACACCTGCACTCATATTTTCATTGTGCAATTTCATGCATAATCTCTCAGAATAATTTATCTGAAGGGAAAGTAAACTACTATTAATAGAACAGTCAACCGAGAGCTATGCTGTTAAATGTTACATAAAAATTTCTGGTTTAATATCAACATATGGTTAAAAGAATTTAGAGGCTGCATGCAGTTTTTAAACCCTGGTAATTGAAAATAAGAAGGTCAGTTCTTCTCAAGTTTTCCCTAAATTTTAGGGTGTAATTACAAAGTGTTTCATGGGTGATCTGACAGTCAGTGTTTCCATATTGAGTAAAACACGATCCATTAATTTTGAAATTGGTCTGGAGCAAATATTAATTAAAATATCTTGCTCAATTTTATGGGTAAAAGTGTGGAACTTCTATTGCAGCATAATGAAAATTTTTTCAAGTAGACATCTTGTTTTATGCATTTTGCATGTAAGTAATGCATTTTCAGAATTATTCAGCTCCTGTACTGAAACTGTTTTCATAAAATTCTGCATCTTATTTAGAGAAATTTTGTTGCTGTAAGTACATACTTAGGATCTATAGTAAAGGAAATATAGCTTGTAGCCAGATTTCATAGATACTTTTCAGTACTTTTAAACTAGTAACGTAAAAGAATGTATGTATGTAAGATGCATATAGGGTGACAGTTTTATAGCAGTAAAATCTTTAGTTAGCAAGTTGACCATTTTATCTATGATTCAAGAATATGTCTGATGATATATATTTATGAATTTTTTTTTATGTTTGCATGCAAAACATTTTTAAGTAATTTAAATTGTGATTTTCCAGTGGATGATACTGAATCTGAATCTGAAGAGTTTACTGTTCGGGATGGTTATATTCATTATGGCTCAACAGTAAAATTAGTTTGCTCTGTTACAGGAATGGCCTTACCAAGGCTGGTAAGTATTTAAAATTATTTTTGATTAAAATAAGTTTAGAAGCATTTTTCTATAGCTATATATAGATTATTACTGTTTCTTTATTATACTCATATTTTGCTAGAATTGTTTACAATATTAACACTTTTTTTGGTAGTAGAATGTCATACTTTTAATGCTCCTAATGCTGTTATTTTTTCTCACTTTTAAAAAATAGGTTCTTTTCCTGAATTATTCTCGCCAGAAAGAAAAATAAAATAATACTTTTCAAACTTACTGAATGACAGGAGAAATAAAAACACTTCAAAAAATTAATTTGCTAGTAATTTAGTGTAATTTTTGTAAAATTCTTATCTTTGTATTAAGTAAAATGGTATTTAACAATAAAATGCTCGAACTTTTGAAACTTTCACTCAAGCCCTTAGAACAAAATTTTGCAAATCTGTGAATTTACATGCAGCTTATAAAGACATTAACAAAAGCAGTTTTTCAAATATTCTCCTCCCCTTGTTTTTTTAAGTACTTCAGGATCATAACATACTTCAGTATTTGATTTGGAAATTATTTACTTTACAGATAATTCGGAAAGTAGATAAGCAGACAGCCCTTTTAGATGCAGATGATCCAGTTTCTCAACTTCATAAATGTGCTTTTTATATGAAGGATACAGAACGGATGTATCTCTGCTTATCACAAGAAAGAATAATACAGTTTCAAGTAAGTGTATTGCATGCTGTTTTCCTTATTATTTCAGTTGTTCTTATTCCATGAAAACTAATCATCTCAATTCTAAAAATTATTTTTGTTCCTAACAACAGCATTTCTTTTATTTTATATATACAAAAATCAAATTTCGTATCTTTTCAGTATACTTTCTTGTCTGGAGTATTTAATTTTTCTATATTTGAAAGACAAATTTTCTAAATCTATGTGTTTTCATCTTTCAGAATGATATTATTGCGTGGAAAGATTACTTTCTTGTAATGAGTTCTAATTTGTTTGTATCTATTGTTTTCTCATCTTGTGAAATGTATTTCACCCTATTTTAAAATGATAAAAGTACGTTAAAGTATAATTTTGTTATCAAATTTCTTCCTCTGTTTCACTTTATCAAATGTTTGTAAAAGGGTACTTTTTCTAATTATTAAGAGATTCATCAGGGTTGTATTATTCGGACAGTACTGCCTTTTTATGTATTCTTTTTACTGCCAAACTGTGGAGTATTCAGAGTGAAATGAACTGCAGAGCATACATAAATCCTTTTGCATGTTTTCTTAATTCCAAAATGATTTTTGCCAAAATCAGTTCTCTAATAAATAATTTATGTATATCATTGTAATATTTGAAATTTTTAAGTTTGTAGTAACTAAGCTCATTCAGTACTAAAATTCTGTTAATTTTTCAGTGTGGCATGTAACATATGGAGCAGTTGCTGTCTTTTTGTTTTAAATAATAACTGTTTCAAGTGAATTGGAATTAAAATAAGAGGATATAATTTATTTAGCTTACCCATGAGAAAAATCAATAGTATATCAGATAGTCACTTCTTTTTTTTTTATATATATAGCCCAAAAGGGTCAATTTGCCAGAAGGACTATTCATTTCATTTAGGCATTTTGCACTGATTCACTATAAATGGCGAGTCACTTTTTTAAATTGTTGCCACTAAATTTTTGAGCTCTGTATTGTATTTAAAGAAATAAAATAAGGAAGAATCTGCCTAAAATATATGTATGTTTTTTGCATTGTGATAAAACAACGGTACCTAGAGCCATCAAGTTTTAAATAACGTACGTCTCCACCCAAATAGGGAAATCTGGAAGCCCGAATTTGTGTTATTATCTATTTCATATTTTGTAAAACATTTATAAGTTTTTAATTAAGAAACTCAATTCAAAGCAAGCAACAGTAACACTGTACGGGAAAAGAACATTTTTATCTCCAGCGCACGAGACTGTGTATCAGAAATTCCAAAGATATGCTCTTTTAAATAGTTTGTGATATTGGTGTTAAATTGAATTTTATGGTTTAAGTGTGAAGAACATGATATTTAATAAATAAAGGTAACAACACAAAATATTAAAAAAAATGCCTCTTTGGGCATAATATAAAATCTGAAAGCTTTCAGATTTTTTTTCTATTTCGTAATTTTTTTTCACTGTAGTATGAAAATTAATGAATCCTATTTTTAATGAGAGTAGTATTTATTTTAGTTATAAAACCGGGAACTTCCTTAATATTATCTTAAGTTATCAATAACTAAATTTATAAATATGAATAAGCATTTTAATCGCAGATTGTGCAATTCTAAAATTAAAGATTGTTGTAAAGGTCTTGTCTTATTTTAGGCTACTCCTTGTCCAAAAGAGCCAAACAAAGAAATGATTAATGATGGTGCCTCTTGGACAATCATAAGTACAGATAAAGCAGAGTACACATTTTATGAAGGAATGGGACCAGTGCGTTCAACTGTAACTCCAGTGCCAGTTGTACATAGTTTACATGTGAGTAATTTTGAAATTATTAGTCTTTGCATTGATTTTTGGTTTTTTTAAAGGCCAAATGTTACTTTGTTTTTTAGTGTTTCATATGGTAGTAGAGTTAGTAAGCTGCTACTTCTAAGGAACTAAGACTAAATTGTTTAAATAGAAGTCATTGTTGAAACACTTTATTTTAATTAAATTAATTTTTAAAAAAATATTTAAATTGGTAATTATTTCAATATTTATGTACACATGCTTACGGTGTAAAACTGCTATTTTCAGTTAAATGGAGGTGGTGATGTGGCCATGTTAGAATTGACAGGAGAGAATTTTACTCCTAGCTTAAAAGTGTGGTTTGGGGAAGTAGAAGCAGAAACAATGTATAGGTAATACTTTCTTTTGTATATTTTTCTTTAAGTAATAACTGTGGCATTTTGACCACATATTTCAATTCATCTTAAACTCATCACACACAGTGCATATGATTTTTTTTTTCAAGTATAAGTTAATACATACTAAATAAATATGAATACCTGAGTTGCAAAATAAGCTAAATGGCTTCTGAACTGTTATTAAGTTTAAATTTTTTCTATTTTGTGTTATATTCACGAGTCTGAATTTCTGCATATCATTAAATTTCTGCAACCTTTTGTTTATTTGATTTAAATTTAGATCCCAAAAACTTAAAGTATTAGTCTACTTCGGGTCTGGTTGCAAGATGTTATTCACCACGGCACTGACTCGTACAGTTCACAGATGGTGTTATGTGGATTTTCGTGCTTCATCTTTTTTAGATGTTGGGTTAGTTCACTGACATTACAGGATTGTTAGAGATATCTTTCCATCAGCTTTTAAGTAATATAGAATTGTGTGAGGAAGAGATCTGTCTACCTAGCTGGCCCAGAAAGTACTGGCAATTTTGAAGGTAGGCAATCAGCAGAAATGTGTGTCATGTGTAACTGGGCATTATGTTATTGAAAAGTAAGGCTGAGTTTATGTAAGAGGAATGGCAACACTATGAGGCATAGAGAATTCTGTGGAATTATGTTAATGTATCTCTGTAAGGTTGCCACAGTACTACCAGAAGTTCATTGCTATCAACCAAAAGCTCACAACTCTCCCATTTTGGCATCTATGGCATGCGATAGTAAAGGTAGGGCTGTGTTACAATCCTGGGCATATCATGATATATCTGGGCCATCTAATTGGAAGAGAAACATGCCAATCTGAAATTTTAAACCAGACGAAACAGCAAACTTAGATAAACAATCCTTATATAACAATTCCAATGCTTAGCTTTTCAACTTTCATAACTATTTTCAACAGATGGCACTACATTTTTTTCTTGCTTTGTTTCACTCATTGATTTGCATGTAAAGTTCTTTTGACTTCTTCTACCTTAGCAATTTTTTCCCCATCCTGGAGAAAGTGAATCTATAGAGTTTTATTCAAAATCTATGCCACTCTAAGGTTGGTTGCTTTTTTTGGCATAATTTTAAATGACCGTGAAAATATGTCACTAAAGACAGTTCATCTCTAAGCATAGAAGTTTCAGTTAAGTGTGCCAGCCTACTGCAGACACATTTGACAGTATGCTTTGGTGCAAAGTAGCATAATGAACAACGTGAATATAAGTTGGGTTCTCTGAATTGAACAGTGGAACTTTGTAAGTGAACAAATAATTATGTCTGTTTATAGAATTAAAGAGAAGTATTAGCACAAAAAACGAAGCAACTTAAACAACTTACATTGATAGAAATGTTTACTAAAGTAAACAAATAAATATTAAGCTTTTTTTTTTTTTTTTTTTTTTTTTTTGTAAATTTTGATACCCTTTAGATCATAATTGCTTTTTATTTCATAAATTACAGTTTCATATTTTTAATTTTATAATTTCTGCATGCCATCTTACCAGATTTAAATTGATGATCTATAATCTGGAAAAACCCCTAATCTGGAATTGCCGAAGTCCTGACGAGTCTGGATTTCGGACTTTGTACTGTATCAGTAGTCATAATATTAATTTCTTTCTGTCACTTATCTGGTTTTTGCGTGAACACATTATGTCACTTATCGGGTTTTTGCGTGAACGCATTGGGTGCTGTGAAGGCTGGTCTGCAAAACATTATATTTTCTTATTCCTTTGTCACCCTAGGTTGACTGCTTCCTTTTTAGTTTTGAATCTGCCATTTTTGAGGCATTTCAGCATTGTATAATTGCTTTGCTCTGACCCTAATAATAAGTAGTTCTTTGATTTGTTCTTTAAACCTCTTTCAGTCTGATGGCATGATATTCTTCAAATTATGGCATAGGCTTGTAATGAGAGCAAACTGTTAGGAGAGTCACTGTTACAATAAACATAACTAATCCCAAGCAAAAGCAGATTTAAAAAAACTAATAAAGAAAAAAATCATATTGTCTCTGGATAGTCGGAGGTTGAATTAAAAGCAACCCTCTTCAATGATTAAAAGCCTTAATAATAAAATAATAATAATAAAAAAAAGAAATGAAAAAAACTTACCTTGTATTGCATACATAAAAGGAATTAATGCATAATGTGAAATTACATCTTTACCATATTCCAAGATTTTGTGTAAACATTTTTAGTTAGCTGGAGGGGATATCCAAGGAAATTTAATATATTTTTCAGGAAAAACATATTATTTTTAAATCTTAAGACTGAAAATATAATACTAGTTAATAAGAACAGTGACAGCGCTCCTGTGAAGAGCAAATTCGCAAAAATCAGTTTTCAGTGTTTTTTTGCGACATTTATTTCTGAAGACATTTTGGTGCTGTTCTGTTATCAGAACTAGAGTCAGAAATTCGTTGTATGTATACATGTATGAATGGATGTATGTGTTCATGTATGAATGGTTGTATGTGTTCATGTATGAATGGATGTATGTGTTCATGTATGAATTGTAAGCACGAATGTATGTGTTTGTATACATATGCACATATATGTACACACACAAACACACGCGCACATTTTCACATATCTGAATTCGGTTCCGATAACAAGATAATACCAACATTTTTTTGATGGATATGAAAAAATGCATCAGGAATGTTATGCATAACAGTAATTTTTGTCAATAGCAACAAATTCTCTTGGCTGCCACAGGCCATAGAAAAGTAATACAAGGACTGCCTTGACCATCAAAATTATTAGTTGGCAATCATAAATATAGAATATGTGCCTTATGAAAATCTAGACATGCTGTTATGCTGTTTTGTAATTCAGCGTAATAAATGATATGACATGCTGAATTTGCATGGGTTAGTAATTTAGTAGCTGAGTTAAAATCTTGGTCCTTTTCTGATGTACCAAATTCTGTAATTTGTTCTTCATAAAAAATAATAACAGTGTCAGTAAGTTATTCTATATTTAATCATTCGCCAATTTTTTTAAGTAATCTAAAATAAGCTTTGCTCATTTGAGGAAAAAATTAAGCCACATACATGATAGCACATCTGAGCACTCATACCTGTATTTTAAATCCTTTTGATTGAAAGACTTCCATAATTAATCGGGATGTTAAATCAATGATCATTTAATAAAATAATTTTATAATATAGAAATAATTTAACTGTACAGTCAATTCCAATGATTAACTGTGATAATACTAGGAGTACCGTCACAGTTTAACCTAAAATTACATGGGATGTTAATCAATGATAATTTAAAAATAATTTTATAATAAGAAAATAATTAAGGTACAGTCCATTCCGATTAACGTATAAACGGAGTACCATCAAGTTTAACCTAAAATTACATGGATGTTAAACCATGATCATTTAATAAAATAATTTTATAAATAGAAAAAAATTAAGGTACAGTCAATCCCGATTAACTGTAATAATAAATTTTTTTTTTTTTCCTTTTTTTTTTTTTTTTTTTTTTTTTTTTTTTTTTTTTTTTTGTTTTTTTTTTTTTTTTTTTTTTTTTTTTTTTTTTTTTTTTTTTTTTTTTTTTTTTTTTTTTTTTTTTGAGTCGTCACAGTTTAACCTAAAATTACATGGGATGTTAAATCATGATCATTTAATCAAATAATTTATAATATAGCAATAATTAAGGTACAGTCAATTCCTGATTACTGTGTAACTAAATTACAGGGATGTTAAATCAATGTCATTAATAAATAATTTATAATATAGAAATAATTAAGGTACAGTCAATTCCTGATAACTGTGATAAACTAGGAGTACCGTCACAGTTTAACCTAAAATTACATGGGATGTTAAATCAATGATCATTTAATAAAATAATTTTATAATGTAGAAAATAATTAAGGTACAGTCAATTCCTGATTAACTGTGATAATACTAGGAGTACCGTCACAGTTTAACCTAAAATTATAGTTAATCTGAAGCTAGTTAGGAAAACGCAAGAAAAATGCTATTAACTATTTATATGTGTTCTCAAGCAGTTTAATCTGAAGAAGAAATTCATTTGATTTTGTAAACTTAATCAGCATTCAAACAAAAAGAACAATGTTTATATTTATATTACACTTATATTTCAGTAGACATCAGTGTGTGAAACAGAAGATTAATACTAATACTGATATTTTTATATTTATTTATATATTTCCTTCATATTTCAGAATTTTTACAATTAAATTGTATGCTGTTGGGGATTTAAAAAAGCCTTCCAAAAGTTCACTTCACCCGCTATCACCTACATTTTCCTTTTCCTCTTAATATTTTTCACAGATAATTTTATTTCATGCTGATGATTTGTAACACTTATTTTTCCATTGATCCACTGTAAACAAACTTTCTTCTAACACTGGGCCCAATTAATGTGCCTTTAGTTAAATATTAGTTGACCGTATTCTTATATTTTTAAAGAAATATTTGATTAATCTAAGAATTACTTGCAGGTGCCAAGAAAGTATGTTGTGTGTAGTTCCTGACATTTCAGCATTTAGAGAAGGATGGCAGTGGGTCAGGCAGCCTACACAAGTAAGTTTGGATGTACATTTAATTGAAATGTCAGTTTCTTATAATTCCTGTGTCAAAGTTTTTGCAAAGTACTGAATTTTTGTATTTGAAAATACATTTTTAAAATATTAGCTTAAAATATTTAAATTTGAATATTCCAAGTTAATATTTTAAACAAGTGAAAATTAAATGAAATTAATTAAAGTGAAAATTAAAAAAATAATTCAGGGGGAAAAATTCTTGAATTTTATTTCAATTATCCTTGAATGTCTTACTGTATTTTAATATTACACACTGATTATATTAAACATTCACCTATTTTATATCCCTGAGGTCGACCTGGAGAGTCATTATTTATTATATTTTGCTTTCATCACCGCATCTTTATCCATACATGACAGCTTCAATAATAACCTATGCAGTAATGTCTAAACTTTTTCTTTCTTTTTTTTTTTTTAATATTAGTAATTGAATAACAAGAGTATGGCAACCTTTTATGCTAACATTACGCTTGGCGATGTTTATGGCGAGGAAAAATTCAACACAAATTTCTTTTCATATGCTAAAAATAGATTTTGTTAATGAAACTCATAGCCAAAAGATTACATTTAGTGCTATTAAGAATAACTGATGTGTTATTCACCATAAACCCAGAAGCGGCGGCAGAATATGTCAGCAGCGGACGGCAGAATTTAGGGAAGACAAAATTTTTGGAATTTTGGGGAAGCACCGAGTGAAGAATATGTATTGTTAAGAAGGAAAACTTCTCTGAAACAGGAGTGGCTTCGTCCCAGCGTAGAGGGAAACAGCTGCACATGCGCGAAATATCTGTCGCCAAAGCTCAAAACCGGCTTCGAAGTTCGAAGGTCACGTTTATCAAGAGTTCATAAAACAAATATCGTTTTAAATTTCTTTAAACTTTAAAGGAAAAGAAAATATTTTTTTTTCGCAAATAAATTAATTACTGGATTAGTTATTTTGAGCAAAAAAAAAAAAAAAAAAAAAAAAGTGCGAAAATCTGAGTTTAAATTATCGCGAAAAGTCAAAGCAGAATCTTCTTAACACGTGCTCCTCAATTTCCTGTACACATCACGGTAGGGATTACATCTATGGAACCTTTCCTTCTTTATATACACGTTTTTTGCACCAAGCTGCAAAATAAAAGGATGAGAAGTTTTTTATATTGCAAACATTTCGTAATCGGAAAACATGCACGACCTCAAGCATTTAACTCTTCTGCATCGAGAGAGGACAAAATCTCTTTTCTCCAAACATCGAAAACGCCTGTGTCTACGAATTTCTCCTGGAATGCTTTTCCTTCCCCCTATGAAAAATTGAATACTACAGCGCTAACAATTACCTACATAAGAAAAGCGAGAACTTCTTTCTTGGATGCTTTCACCCTGTGTGAAATTCCCCCTTGGGACGGGATTGCAACTTCGGCCATCAAAAGCTAAACATTGACAGTAAACAAAGGAAAGAAATGGTGCATTAAAATAACACAACTACTTTTAGTAATAAAAATAACAGAACTACTTTAAAAGAATGATTGACATGTCATTTAACAACACCTGAAAGCAATGAGCAATGCAGTAACATGATGGGGGAAAGCACTAGGTAGGAAATTATTCAGGCGTTTGGGGCGTCCAGCCGATGTCTGAATGCTTGGGCATTTGGGGCGACTTCGATGTGAAAGAGTTAAAGGAGTAACGATTTTCCCCATTATATATCGTGCAAATGAAATAGCATGGATGAAACAAACATTAATGAATGCTTGGTTTGAAAATCATTTTATACCCAAAGATTGGCAACATTTGACTTCGGTTGGTTTACCTGATGACGGCAAGACTATTCAAGAAATTTTTGAAATATTTTAGCATAAAATCTGCTGTGTGGAGCATTGGAAGATCATGGGAGCATGTGTTTGCAGAGACGTTATAAAATTCTTGGCATAATTTATGGTCAGGTACCATATTTCATGATGAGGATAATGAAGATGATAGTCGTGGATTTGAAGGTTTTCAGATATCGCTAATCAAAGGTTAATTTTCCAGTTAATGGATTTTGTCTATGTGGAGAAGTGGTAATAAATGAAGTTGATGTAACAGAAGTTTTTCGTTGCAATGACAATGCCCCAATCATCAATCAATTAACGGACGGTGAAATCTGTAGTATGGTTCTAGATCCAGGAAATACTGCTACCGATAGTAAAGAAAGTGACAGAGAGGTTATTGAAAACAAAAAATTTCAATTGACAAGTTAGTCGGTATTTTGACACAGCAATTACAGGACTTGAACAGTAGAACTTTGTAACTGAACAAGAAATTATGTCTGTTTATAGAATTAAAGAGAGAGTATTAGCTCAAAAAACAAAGCAACTTAAACAACTTACATTGAAAGAAATATTAACAAAATAAACAAATAAATATTAAGCTTTTTTTTTTGGTAAATTTTGATATCCTTTAGATCATAATTGTTCTTTCATAAATTTCAATTTCATATTTTTAATTGTATAATTTCTGCATGCCATCTTACTAGATTTAAATTGATGATCTAATATCCGGAAAAATCCCAAATCGGGAATCGCCGAAGTCCCGACGAGTCGGATTTCGGACTTTGTATATACAATTAAGGATCATGGAATATATTTAGATCAGTGCAATAATAGTTATTTGATATTAATTAATGAATTTTCTCATGTATAGTGGAAGAAATATAGAAAAAATATCTGCTCAGTTTGCAGATAATTTTGTTATCAAATTGTTTAATGCACGTAAATGAAATTTTAAAGAGGATTGATGATCTGGAGTTTATGGCCAAATATGCTATGAGTTACATTGAGGCAGGTTTGAGATAAATAAAGTGCATGATGTTTTTAGTTTTTCGAGACGTACTTTAAATAATTTAAAAATTAGCCACCCAGACGGTATAGTGGTTATGGGAGCCTGACTGCGATGTCGAAGGGCCAGGTTCGAATTCCGGAGAAGGCATGGATTCAAAATTGTCTGTCCCTTCATAGGAGGTTACGGTGGCCGCCTGTTAGGTGCCTCCATAATAAAATGGTCATCGCTTCTAGCCTTGGTAGTGGCCGATGCTGTTATAAGCGCCATTTGTAAGAGAAATAAAAATAAAAAATTTTTGTAGGTGGAGCAGTTATATGCCAAAAAATTGATTAATTATACTTTCAGCTAAAATTTGCAAATAGGAGGTGGATGACATTACTCATTTGAGTCTATTTTGAAAGAATCATGGAGTCTTTGCATATGGAGATATGTATCTAACATAAGAGGTAAATTAGAGAATGACTATAGAAATGCAAATAGAAATGTAATTGAAAAATATTTACTTTGGATCTTTTTTTCATCAGTTATTCTTTTTAATTTTATATTTGACAGCATCATATGATTGTGTTATAGCTGGAGAAAGTGAGATAATGGCATTAGTCGAGTCAAATTTTCAAACTGAAGGATATCAAATGTACTGATTCTGCTCATAATCCTTACCAATGGTGCTATGTCGATACTACAATACAAAGTCCTAAACCTGGATATCTTAATATCTAGACCAGCTGCCAAAACAAATAAATAAAATAACAATAAGTATTCTCCCTCCTCAAAATCTAAGAATGGAGAATATAGCATCAATAAAAAGCAGTGTTTAATAAATGTGATATTTCTGTATTTCGCTGGAGCTTGCATGTTACTTTCAATTATCTGTTGGCTAGAGAAGTTGCAGTTACATCGAGGCCAGTAACAATGCAGTGATTGGTATTGATTGGATCACACTTGTAGTCCTTGAGTAGTTGGGAGGGAAGTAGTGCTGGCACTTTGCATTTAGCTGCCTGGTACAATATCTTGTAGTAATTTTGCTGCCTATCTGAATTCTAAAAATTCTACCATACCTAATTTTTACTGCCTGGTGGTCCTCTAAATTCTAAAATTTTTGGCCACTCTTAAGGTCTAACGCCTGATGCGGCCTTACCTGTTTCACCTACTATGGCACCTCCCTGTGGAAACAGTTAGCTTTTTTTCATTTGATTTAAGCAAAGTGAAACCCCAATGTTGCTCAGTCTACATGTTGTCTTACTAGATTTAAACTGATGGCCTATTTTTGGGGGGGGGTAGGGGGGACTGGTTGTTTTTTGTTCTGTGCATTCGTTTTTTTCCATTTTCTTACAGACGACAAAAGTGCTGTACGAAGAGTATATCTGTCCAGTCTCACAACCTTATGGTAAATTCTAGCATGCAGTTGTATGCTTTGCAATTTGACTTGCAGTTGCATGCATATCACTGTCTTTGCTAATGATATAAACATGGGGATATCACTTGTTAATTTTATTGATCAATGAAGATTTCTCTGTTTTGATCCACAGCTGTTTATTCTGTAATCATCTTATGAATTTGAGGGTGATTGTAGAATCAATAGCAAAATTTTGCATAAATTTGGATTTATGTTAATAGTTTTATAAAAATTTTCACATCTTATAATTTACTTTAACTACTGTCCCCCCAAAAAAATGTGATAAAATCTATTACGTAAATAACTAGTACATAACTATAAATAAGCATCACATTTTTAAAAATTTAAATTCCTTTATATAAACCAGTCATGTTCTTGTAATGTGCAACACTGCTATATGAGATAACATGGAATCATTTACAGTGCAGTACTTCGTATGTTGTGCTGAATCTTTAGCTTCAAAATACACCAAAAGTGATTCATTTGTTTGAGTATTAGTACTTCCTGAAAGGTTGATAAAGTTCTTTTGATGGCTTATGTTTAAATAATTGCATCCTGATTGATTGGCCCAGCTCCATATTACAAGACAAGTGACCAGTTTTGACATAAATTTGAAGTACTACTTGCACAGTTGTACCAAGTACTACTTGCACAGTTGTGCCACATTTGATAGCACAATGAAATCTTACTGCCTAGCAGTAAGAAGCTTTGCTTATAATACTTGTCTTAGTTATGTGGTAATGTAAAGCATTCTCTGTCTCTGGTCAGTAATCCTTTTATTGTAGCATATTAAAAAATGAATCTTGTCTGAATAATAGTGTATAGTATTCTGTATTTCAGGTGCCAGTGTCATTGGTTCGAAATGATGGTATTATATATTCAACTGGCTTGACATTTACCTATACACCTGAACCTGGACCAAGAACTCATTGCCCTGCTGTTGAGGAAGTCTTGAGGCCTCCAGATTTACGGCGGGATGAGTCTAGGCACCAACCTCATTTGTATTCAAGTTCTGATCACCCTATGTAATGAAGTGATTTGGAATATTAAAATGTTGCACGAGCCTGTATGAGCTCAGGTGAAATATGCAGTTCATTGGTATTGATCCAACGAACAAGTCAGTTACTTTTGAAATTATTCTGAGAACTATCATTCACACAGTAGATAACAATGTGATCAAAGTAATATTTATACAAGTCTCCCATATGACTTAGCTGCTATTATTCTACTTTTTTATACTTATAATGCCTTCATCGAACATTACTCACAATTTGTTGTTAAGGATTGCTCCATGTTATTCTTGGAAGTAGTACATATATTGAAGCATTATGGTAATCTGACAATTTTCAGTAGAAAAATAACTTTTATTCTGTATATTTTTTACTTGTATGTCAAACATAATAATGATTATGAAACATAATCTTTTTCTATTTGTTTTTTTAAAGAATGGATTTTGAGGTGATATGTAATCTGAATTTTTGGCTTGTATATTTTTAATGAAAAAAAAAAGACTGTAAATATTATTTTCAAATAAATTGGAAATATAATTATGATAAAATTGAGTTACCTGAAGAAATGTACAGGTTTTGGTCTCAAATTTTATAGCAAAAATATTTATTTGGATCTTTTTTCATCATTGTTCTTTTTAATAGTAAGTCTTTCTACTTGACTAGTCAACTCCTTTATGGTTTGTCTTATATTATTCTATTTTTAAACACCTTGTTGAATTAAATCAGGTAGCATAGCATATAGTACTGTTAATTTATTTATTATAATTTTGTTTTCTATTGAGTATATGGTATGCTTCATTATGGTTTTTGTCTGGTGTTATATTCTTTTTTGTAAACCATATTTAAGCATTTTATTCCTAAATAATGGATGATTTTTAAAAAAGCTTAGAAACGTGTACCATGCATTAAGCTGAATGCTTTAAAAAAAATTGAGTGGTTTACTAATTTGCCCAAATAGTTTAATATTATAGTGGGCTATATTATATTTTTTATATTTTAAATAAATAAAAGTTTTTAAACTTCATCATTACTTAATCAAATTCAAAAAATTTTGTAAGATTCAAATTAATTTTCAGTTTTCAGATTGCATTAATAAGTGAATTTAGTACAAAAGACTCACCCGCCCAGAAGGAGAAAAGTCCCAAATATTATGGCTTTATTTAAGATATATTTGTAAATTTGTGAAAATGAATCAAATTAAATTTAAATAAATAATAAAAAACCGTTTTTTTTATATAAACTTTAATAAAATTGCATATTTCCAGATGTGAAAATTAAAAATTTGGAGCAAATATGAGGGTAAAAAAGGTGCATGCTGTAAGATAGTTGATCAGAATTTATGGACTCCATACATACCTTAAAATGTCAAGTAAATCTTAAGGAACCTTAAAGCAGTGACTTGTTGAATGCATGGTGATATAAAAATAGCTATCTGAAATTCATTTGATATATTTAAATTAAATTACAACTATTAATTTTTGTTTTAAGAGTTTGTATTGAGAACAGACTTCTTCTTAATATTATGTTTTTACATTTGTGCAGTGTTAAATGGATTTAATGCAATAAGATTGTTTCCTACTTCAGCAGCAATATTATTTTTTCTTACTATATTATTAATTTATGTTTTGAATTCAGGTTCACCTCTAAAAATCATATTTAGACATACATATTAGCATCCTAAAATGTTTCTTTTCTAATACCTGTATTTATTATAATGATGGTAAAAAATAGGGTGCATCTACCTCCTCTTAGTTTGACCTAAAAAGATTGAATTTTTCTAAAGTATAATTTAAGAATTTTACTTTTGTTGAAATTAACTTGAATGTGCATATAATTAATTTGAAATTCTGATTTTCATTAACGTGTATACAGTAAACTTAATTAAATTCAGGAATAGTATGGCATAAAAAAATTGAAATTTACTATGCATCGCATTTATTAACTTTGACCGTTATTTTATTTAACTGCAGTAATATTTTTTGAAATCTTCAGTACTGAAATTTGTGCCATTTTTAAACATCTACTTAACATTTATTTTATTTCATAATTTAAATTAAGTAGCATTTGCACTTTAAATTTTATTAAATACATTATTTTTAAAAACTGAATTTTTTAACTGACTTTTTTGCAAAATTTTCTTATTTCTGCAATAAACTAATTCCTCTTAACTGATTAAGTTATGTTTGCTATTTTAATGTTTCATTTAGAATAAGTTACACTTTTTGTAACTTTGTTTTAGATACTAGATGCATTCCATAATTATTTCATGCAGGTTAAACTAAAGCTATTTTGTTGTTTGACTGAACTTTAGAAAACTAATATTGCCTGTTGCATTTTTATACCTGTGCACTTAGAAATTTAATACATTGTATATATTCCACATTATACTTTTATCATTTATACAATAATTCTTCATCATTGTATATACTAAATATCAAACTTTATAAGCTTAAGTTTTTGTATATAGATTATCTGTGATTTGTTCTGCTGTTGCATACAGTTGCAAGAAACTTCTGTCTAATTAATTTGTTAATATTTTATGTGTATTGTTATGGGTGCAAGAAAAACAGCCAACTCTGTATTAATATTTATGTGACTGAATCTTAAAATTGTGAAATTATGAACACTTTCATTAAAAGTTCTCCCATATTCTAAAATTAAAAATTTAAGTATAATTTTATTTTTAAGTCTGCATAGGTTTTCTGACATATATAGATAACATTGCAGCTTAAAATAATTTATGAGATCTGTTTTATGACATTAAAATATAATATATTTTTCCATGCATGGTAAAATAACATGATTCAGAAATTGTTTCTCAAACTATCATTTTAATATACCACTATGAATACGGTTAGAGAATATGTTTCAGTGTCAGTATATATAAAGTCATATATAAAAAATGATTTTAATTTTATCTATGTAAAATCAGGTTATCATGTATGCTTTGAATTTTAAATATTAATGTATATATACTTAACATTTTTAAAACTTTTTTCTCCACCAATGTCTGGACACTAGTTGATCGTACATTGTTTGGCAATGACTGAAACCATTGCCCATTTAACTGTTTTATCTGCGAGAAAGTTGATTATGTACTGATATTACACCTGCTAGGAAAAGATAACTGTAAACATCAGAATTTGAACCCAGGTTCAGTGACATGGCAGTTAACAATGCAAACAACTGTACTGAGCAGGGGCTTGGAACAATGTCAGGTGCAGCTCATTAAAGGTTTTTGTGGTAAGGAGTACAGAGGTTTTCAAAACCTCTCAGAAAGTGTTGGATTATAAGGTATTTTTTCCCTCCTTTCCGTATGCCTTCGTTGTGTAATTGGAAGCATACTTAATATATATTTGAGAGGTCCAAGATCCGAATTCCAGTGAGGGCAATGCAATTTTTTTTATGTTTCCTGCTTCAAAGAGACCTAATGACTCTACAAATGATGGCCGAACTAAAAGGTGTTGGATGATAATTCGTCAGCCCCAGCATTTGGGAGTTGGTTCCCTTAATCCTTAGTGACCCTTTAAAAGAAGGAGTATATAAGGTCTTTTCTCCCTTTTTCCATGTGGCCTTTGTGGTGTAATTGGAAGCATACTTGACACATATTCAAGAGGTCTAAACTTCGAGTCCATGCAAGGGCACTGCACATTTTTCATGTCTCCTGCTTCAAAGAAACCTAATGACTGTACAGGGTCAATCTCTGTTACAAAATCAGGCAGTTTCTGTGCTTTTTTTAACAATTTGTTTTACCTCTTGTTTGTTAAAGGCTGTCTTAACTATTGCTGCTTTCACTGTCGGCTGGTGTTATAAGATCATCCAGTTCTCCATTTGTCATTTCATGAGAGGCGTTCTTTACTAATTCTTAGATTTCTCCTTCTTCCATATCTGAATATCATGTGCTGCTTTATTATTTTTATTATTAAAATTTTGTAAGATTTCTTTAGCTTCATTTTCAAGCTATGGAAAACCTTTAAAATTGTTGACAACTTCTGGCCATTTCTGATGTCAGCAAGCATTCATTGTTGATGACTTTACTTGTTTCCATGTGAGTTTAATAATTTCTGTGCACTGTGTTACATAAAATTGCTTCCAAAATTGATTCATTGATTCCAAAATGCCATTAGTGTGTCTAGATGCAGTGTCGTGAGAGCTTCAGTATTGTGTCCTGGAGCATTACCAAGAATAGTGATATCTTTAAAGCTCATGTTTTGATGTTGTAAGTAAAGACTGACTTTAATGAATGAATTTTCAAACCAGTCATTACTGAACTGCAGGCATAAGGGAAACATAAGAGGTGTTATTGTTTGCATTATGAGTTCTCTTCCATAAAAACATTAGATAACTATCTTTTTGAGCTTCTTTCTTTCTACCTTGTCTTTTAGCATGTACTGAATTGCAGGCGTAAAGGAAACAGAAGAGATGTTATTTTATCATGAGTTCATGAAGACATTAGGTAACTATCTTTTTGGAGTTTCTTTCTTTCTGCCTTGTCCGTTAGCATCTCGTGGCTCTGTCTGGAACGCACTGGGCCTCTACATCACTAAAATTTCTTTCAGTGTGATTAGACTATGTTTTAAAATGCTTGGCTTTGTCATTGAAAATGTTTATGCTGTTGCTTCTTACCTATTTTGTCAGGTGATATCATTCCATAAAACTTTGTACCTTATCCCATTTTCTTTTGCACTTCACGGAATAAAGAAATGAAATAATCCTCCATTTTCATTTAAAGGTATTTCCTGCACAATCACCTTTTGCTACTGTTTATGAAATTGTTATAGTTTTTCCATGCTAAGCATCTTCTTATAATCCAGTAACTGCTCTATCTTCATTGTTAGTTTTAAGACCTTAGCTTTTGCCTAGAGATAAAATATCATATAAAATCCTCAGTATTCAAAAGGTTCTCAAAAGGTTGCCTGCAGTATAAGTTAGCCAAAATTTCCTTTGTCAGGTTCATGGTACTGTAAGCAGAGTTGGATTAACCATTAAAAAAAAAATAAGCAAATGCTTAGGGCATCAAGATGAGGTGGCTTCACAAAACTTTCCCATTGCCGATATTACAATGGAATATAGGGTGAAACTGAACCAAGACCAAGAAGTGAAGTAAATATATTTGGGGGAACCCAATTGCTTAGGACCTTTAAATGTCTTAATCCAGTATTGCTTGCAAATCATTTTTCCAGGCTTTAGCAATGAAAATAAAGCAGTGCAGAATATTAGAATTTATATTTCCAGACACCTGTGTTAGTGTCATTCAAACTATGCTAATTGTGATGTTTTTTTAATAGATAAATTTGAATAGTTTTGCAATTAGAAAAATATGAAAGAGCTAAACATTCTGCTATAATAAAAATGCATTCTGTTAACTGCAAACAGCAGTCCAAATAAGGAGTAGAATTTTAGGACCATGCAGGATAGTAAATGTCTAATTTTTGTAAAAATCAGTTATATACAACATTCCTTTTAATGTGGCTGACTATGGATTGATTCCTGAAGCTTCTGCTG